GGCACCGATACGTTGCTTTAAATGATATGTTTATTAAATAGATTGTGACTCTAAGCTCTCTCTTACAGCTGCGATGGCTGCCGTTCACCATTCCCAAATCCGCAGAGAAGAAAGTGGACTTTGTGGCTGTGAGTTTATTCCGTATTTTTCCCACATAATTATTTTTCCTTGAATATCCTTCAAAAAGCTCACCAATTGGGATTGCCGTACGTTGCAGGGCCTGCAGACTGTCTGCGGTGCCGGTGATGCCAAATCTCGCGACGGCATTGGCATCCACGTGTACACCTGCAACACCTCCATGTTTAACAGGTGAGTGTGTGCAGATGTGTCCGACCATCTATCAAATAGATGTTCTTCCACCACATCAAACACCCGCCAAATCTTTTGAAGATTGATTTCTAATTTTTCTCTCCTTTATTCTCTTGTTCCAGGTGCTTCAACAACTCAGATGGAGACTTTATGATTGGTGAGGAAAAGATTTAAATATTTTGCGGTCAACTTTCACGAGAACAATGATGTTTCGATTATCGGCCTTTATATTCTGTCGAATGTTCTCTTCTCTGTTTGTCCCTCAAGTCCCTCAGCAGGGTGAGATCTTGATCACCACAGAGTTTGGTAAGATAATGGTCCAGCCGAACGAAATCGTTGTCATCCAGGTGAGGTCGAGGTCTTTTATCTCCCCCCAGTTTTTTCCTGGGAGTCTACCACTGCGTCTGTCCGCTACATCTCACTTACCATATTTAGAAAGACATAGTTTCAAAAATGACTTTAAAAGTAAATAACAGTGGAAAGAGGTTTGAGCTACAAAAAGCCAGACCACCAGGATGTGAGTTTTCTCAAACACTGTATTCCATGAACCCATAAGTGCCCCCAGCATCGGTGCGTCCCACACGCCATTTATAACATCATTAAATTTCCTTTCACCACCGCTTTTTGTGTTTTTTTTTCTAGCAAGGGATGCGCTTCAGCGTGGATGTGTTTGGAGAAACCCGAGGCTACATACTGGAGGTGTATGGAGCCCATTTTGAACTCCCTGACCTGGGACCCATAGGTGTGTGTTTGTACGATGTTTGTGGGAGTCATTTGTTGGTGTCCTTGAAAGCAGCACGCCGACCTCTTTTGTGTCTGTTTCTTGCAGCGGTCGGTAGTTGTCTGAATTGGTTTCCATCTTCTCCCCAAATCTGTCATCATTTTAGTCACGCTAGCATCACAGAGATGGAAATGTCACCAGGTCAATTGGTTCACCACTTTGGTTCAGACCGAAATATTTTGCCAATGAGGTGATTTGGGATTTTGAGTGAGTTGTTTCAGCAACTATTGATTTGATTTTGTTTCAATAACTTAAGTGATCCAGTAACTAGTGTTCACATTTACCCATAAAGTACGGCCGTGTCAAAGCACAGCCTCTCGGACTCAACGTTGCGTAAGCATTTACAGCTTTTTGGTGTGCGCCTTAGTACACGCGTAACCATGCACGTGTGTTTTTGCAGGAGCTAACGGTTTAGCCAACCCGAGAGATTTCCTTTGTCCAGTTGCTTGGTACGAGGATCGCAAAGTGGCCACGGGTTACAGCGTCATCAACAAGTACCAAGGAAAGCTCTTCGCCTGCCAACAGGTGCAGTTTTTTTCATCTCACATTGCCTTTGGACCGAGTCAGTACGCTCTCATGTACTGACTCGGTCATTTGCCAGACTTGCCCTGTTAGCCTATTTGGGTTTGCGTCTGGTTCGGTGAACACCGTCTAACCACAGCGATGATTAACAGGAAACCTGTCCGAGCGACACGTATGATCCGTTAACTGTTTCTGCCGAATTAGTTGCCATCCCTGATGATTTAATATCAAAGTGTGAGCTGTTATCCGTGCGGCGGGTTTCCACCTCGACTCCCGCGTAAGCCTTAATCACTCATAATTAGTTAAGGCATTGCGGATTTACGGGCGGCTTACCTGTGAAGCTTTGCTTTGTCTCAAGTTGAGCTTTAATTTCACCATATTTCACTCATGGAAGGATCCCGCCTCCTTCCGAAATGTCCCGTTGGGCGCATAATTGGATCGACACATAATGTCTGACAGGAGGTGGGAGGAGAAGTTTGTCAGGGGTTGGGGGTGTCGTTACCGTGGAAACCATGTCAAAACACGCTGTTATTATTCATTGTGTGAAATACAGAAGAGCAATATACTGCCATTTGCGTTTTTTCCATCGATCTAGCTGCCGACACGTGGGTATCTGCCCTGCGAGGTGTGAGAGGTCGAGGCTGCTGCCTGCACCTGACACTCTTTTCCGGGTGTTCAGCCTTCCACGAGCGAGGAGGGCGAGGCCACGGGAGTAAGAAAATGAGGTGGGGGGGGGGGCCAGCCTCATCTCAAGGAAGATGCTGGCGCTCCCGTCTGGTCCTGCTGTTTTGTTCCCCCGCAGCGTGTCGAAATTGCTCAAATTAACTTATTATTTGCTTGACTGGGCCAATATGTTTGTGTTTTGTGTGCACGTGTGTGCAAGTGCTCGCTCTCCTCCATTCCCCCCCCCTCATTTTAATCGAATGTAGTGGAGTTACCACGGATGAATGTCCAAGAAATGACCTGCACTTGCTTTGCCAAAAGGCCTTTTGGTGTGGTGCCTCCTGTGGATCGCAGGTGTGGTTACGGTTCTTTGTGGGTGTTTTTTGTTGTTGTTACGTAATGTGTGTGAGTTTAATTATGCGCATGTTTGTGCATGCAAACGTGTTTTATTGTCAGTGTGTATTAGCAGTTCATACGTGGTAATTGTATGTGAGCTGGTGTCTAAGGAGCACGCAGGTCACACAGGAGGCGGCTTGAGTTGTAATGAACTATATTGATTTTCAGAATTGCTGTTGAATGTCCTTTTTTTTTTTTTCGTGGTGGCATTATCGGAACAGAAAAACTATATAAAATTGCTGTGGTTTTAACAATCAAGATAAAGAAATATCTCTGCACCTACTGTTACAGCTGCTCCCTCCCACCTAACGCCAGCGTCAGAATGCTCCGAGTTTGGGAAAGTTTGATTGTGAAGCCAATTACCCCATAATACCTGGAGCCGTGTATCACAAAGAACTGGGGGGAAGAAAGAAAGAAGCACGCTATCTTTCACAATCAACCCTTTTTATTATGACCAGTTTTTCTTTTTTTCTCTCTTTATGTCAAGAAGTACTCTCTCAGGGAATTTAACATCTCCAAGACATTATTCATTATTTCTTTCTCCCAGTGAAAAGATCAATTTGAAACCTTTTGTGTTTTGTTGCTCGAGCAGACTCCTCTTATCTGTTTGCCTCTGTGCTCTGCACGTAGGATTTCTCTCCGTTCAATGTGGTGGCTTGGCACGGGAACTACACGCCGTACAAATACAACCTGAAGAACTTCATGGTCGTCAACGCCGTGGCCTTCGACCACGCGGTGAGTGTCCTGTTCAAACGCACCACTTTTGTGTTCATTTATCTTTGCATTCTGCTCCTGAATTGGAAACATTTAGCTCGCCCTCATGGCTCACATATTTTCCAACAGGATCCATCTATCTTTACTGTGCTGACTGCCAAATCTACGCGACCAGGTGTGGCGATTGCGGACTTCGTCATCTTCCCCCCGCGGTGGGGAGTGGCCGACCACACCTTCCGTCCGCCATACTATCACCGTAGGACACCAACAACACACACACAAACACACGCCTGCCCCTCCTCAAATCAAAAGCAATTGTTGGGTGACGATAGGATGCCCCAAAAAAGCAGAAACAATGAATTTTGAGGACCTGATGTGGCAGTAAAAGAATCCTTATTTGGAAGGAAATGTAGAATTTGTTCTTGTGAAGCTCATTTCAGTCAATCGTGAATTGAAACAAGCCAGACAGAAACTAACAAGTCAATTTACACAATCGGTGTCAAGACAGCAGACGATAGCTATCCACCTGCTGCATGACTCTTTTCAACTGCCACTGCACCTTTTGTCTGTTTTCACCATGGATCTATAAAGCCATCTAGTGGAAATCAGCGTCACAGCTCACGTCGCCTTACACAGTGAACGTCCCTGCTGCAGTGTTGCATTACAGCCCCTCCTGCTTGTCGCTTTAGGCAACTGCATGAGTGAATTCATGGGTCTGATCGAAGGCCACTACGAAGCTAAAGCGGAGGGTTTCCAGCCAGGGGGGGCCAGCCTGCACAGCATGATGACCCCACACGGGCCGGACACAGAATGCTTTGAAAAGAACAGCAGCGCTGAGCTCATACCAGAGAGGGTGGCTGAGGGAACCATGGTAAGCAAAAAGAAAAAAAAGTATTATGTTTCTAAGTAGCGCAGCAACATCCGGAGTCCGGCATCAGTGATTAAATGTGTTGCACCTTTTATTCCTGCAGGCTTTCATGTTCGAGTCCTCCTTCAGCATGGCGGTGACCAAGTGGGGTCTACAAACGTGCCAGAGGCTCGACAAGAGTTACCATCACTGCTGGGAGTCTCTGCGCAGCCACTTTGACCCCAACTGGAAGCCCAGCAAACAGGAGTAGAACAAAGTGACTCTGAAGAAATTTGATCCAGATATGCAATAGTTAGACAATACAAATGTAATCTGACTTTATTAAATATAACTAACTAAAACCAACCCCACCAGGCTGTAAAATGAGTTTTAGGTGAGTCATGCTGAACATGTATGCATTTTATGTTTTCTGTACTTGTGCCGGTTATCTTGAATTTACTGTTACCCAAAAAGTGTTTGGGCACCACGGTGGTTGTTCAGCGAAATTTACACCTTGCTTTAACATTGACTTACTGAAGGGCACCGTGGTGATCATTGATGGTGAAGACAAGTGTATCTGTATAACTTGTGCATATTCTATTAAAATAGTAAAGAAGCTGTAGCTGGTGATTGCATTGTAACCAACGATGTTTCCTTTCACAACTCAATTTTAAATGAAATCCTGTCACCGGGGTGAGCATCACTGATTCTGCACACACTTACAATGCATTTTCCCCACTATTGCCTCACCAATCCATACCACATGAATGATTTTGACAATATAATTTTATTTAGGTAATAATTACACAGACTGGCATCACTAGAACACAAAGGAGGTCTTCATACAACAGAGCTCATGATGACAAACCGAACCGTCGGTCCATGGTTCCAGCCTTAATCTGCTCCTCCTTCCTATCCTGTAACACAGGGGATAACACACGATGAGTCAATACAGCTTCCGTGGCAACGAAATTGTTTCCCACGCATGCACATTTTCTCAACTGTCGAGCAGTTTTGTTTCTCCCAGCTTTCTCTCCAAGGCAAGTGGATCTCGTCTCGTACCCGGTCAGTCTTGAAGATGTAGTAAAGTCCAAAGAGAGGCAAAATCCCAAACATCGCCCCCAGCAGAGAGGTCTTGAACGTCGGCCTGAAGGTTGCGTAGGGGTTGGCGCGTGCAAACACCCAGCGTGTCAGGGCAGGGTCCTCCTGTGGAGACAAGAAGGACGCAACTCATCTTCAAAAGATCATCCTGTGAACTCAACACTAGCCGTGTAGAAAAGAAGCAAAGTTCAGCATTAAATAAACCTGTTTAAACCCGTGTCTGAGGAGTTGTTTAGTTTCAGGTAGAGAGAAAGTGAATGGCCTGTTGACGTCAAAATGAGATGATAAATATATTCTCCTGATTCCTGATCCTGATGCACACGTTTGAAGATGGAGATTTAGACCAGACTAGACTCGGCTCGGCTCGGTTTACTTACAGGGTTGAAATGAGACAGGCAACGTTATGTAACAATTGACTTTACCTAAAATTACGTCTAACTCGAAAATGTTCCTCGTTGAGCATTGACTCCATCTACATACGGCAACGCTTTAGCACATGACAAACTAATCCCCCAATGATACGAAAGAAGGTAATTTACATATAAATTAAGTCCGGATAATAGTCCCTCCATCCACATCCTCATCACAACAGCATGCAGAACAAACATGACACGATAAACTCCATACAAACACCGTTACTCGTTGGTGTGCACCGACGTGCTCCAGTTAGCAAGCCGTCTCCGAGGGTGACATTGCTAGCTAAACGTTAGCGGCTAGCCACTTACAATGAGCGCCTTTCTGTGCGGGTTGTTGAGTTGCGTCTGATACTGCCTCTTCAGGTTCGCTCGTAGCGCTGCCCGGTCTTCTTCAGCGCGTCGCTTCTCCGGCGTGACATGGAAATACTCGTTTGGGTCCAGTGTTTTTGGCCGACTAGCCAAGGGCGCCTCTTGGTAGTCCGCCATGATTGTTTGATGACGCGTGGAGGCGGGGCTAGGAGGGGCAGACGTGAACTCGTGAGATCTCGCGTTGAGTTTATGAATCGTCACCATAGCAACATCAAACCTGTGTTTCGCCTGTAGTTGTAGGTTATGTGCTGAATGAAACGATGAGCGCAAATGAGGTAAATCGAGAAAAAGAAGAGTGTGTCTCGGGGGAAAGCGATGACGACGACTTCCAGTATGAAGAAGTATCCCTGGGAGATGACTGCAGTTTGACAGAGCTGGAGGAAGATTTGGAGGCAACGCTAAAAGCCATCCAAGACCGCGCAGAGGCCAGCGACACCTCTCACAGGCCCCAAGCGTCCACCACACACCGAACCCAGGCCGTGGACGCCTTTCTACGCGACTTCCTGGTCCAAATGAGCATGACCGAAACCCTCGATTGCTTCCAGACCGAGTGGGCCGAGATGGCGCGGAAAGGCCCGGTGGTCCCAGAACAATTCGGCGCGTTGCCGGACGTGTACGCCGAAAACCAGCGTCTGGACGGCGAGCTGAAGGACGCGCGTCGGGAGGGCGAGGAGTACAGGCTGGCGGCGTCTGCCGCTGCCGGGACGCTCGCGAGGGTCCAGAAAGACAGAGACCTCCACCGGCTGCGACACAAGCGGGTTGTCCAGGAGAAGAACGCGGTCGTCGAGGAGATTAGAAAGCTCACAGCACAATGCAGCAACCACTACGAACCCGCCCTGAGGAGAGCGAATGAAAAGTACCAAGCGGTCTTAAAGCAGACCGAGCTGGCGACCCTGGAGAGGGACGAGACCTTAGCGGGCCTACAGGTGAACAGAGAAGGTGCGAGAGGGACGAGACCTTAGCGGGCCTACAGGTGAACAGTCAGGACGGGGATGCACGCGGAGAAGGTGCGAGAGGGACAACTCAACCAGCCAAGACCTCATCCACCTGCGAATAGTCAAATCAAGGCAAATGTTTGTTGGAATACATTTATAAAACGTATTTCCTGAAGCCTGAAATTAATGTTTGGAAAACTTTTCACAATATAAAATAAACAATGCACTTTATACAGCACTAGATTTACTTTCTGTCATACGTGTTTGTGTTGTATGTCTTTTAGATCCCAAACAGTTCACACCAACATAAAATAGTATGTATATTTCATCCCCCATATCTATTGAGGTATTGACACAATGCATTACATGAATCAGCTTTTATTGGAATTATTCTGCTTGGATGTCTGTGGTAAAAGTGTGATTTGTGGTTGTGTTCTTACCTCCATGTCACTCAGGCCTTTTTTTTCCAACCACCTGTCATTGCTCTGTTGTTGAGGTTCAGACACGGTGCGTTATAGAATATCACCACAAGAGGGCAACATCTGACAGTGTTTACACCAACAGACGTCAACAAACTATGGCAAATTGGACCAAGTGTTACCAGAGGAGGAGAATGTGCAACCCCAAGTACATCAGTAGAACCAGAACCAGTGTCGTTCCTTCTCAAATGATCAATGATACCACTTGGTGGTGTTAAGAGATCATGTGATGCTTCGATCTGCAAAAGCTCAGCGTTTGTACACTGAGGTGACATTGGAATCCCACTGCAAAGGTCACATGGCGTATTATACCTATAGCTGGTCACAAGAAACCCTGTTAATCATCAATCATTTTATATCCCTTTCCTACTTTCTTACAGCTATGATTTTGGAAAATTTTCTGGTTGTTCTTTTTATTACACTAGCGTTATGTAATTTAAGAATAGCTGCGCTAGAGTTCAATTGCCTTTTGCATATGTGTCAGTGGCTTTACGAGAAGGTTGTTTAATGAAGATATAACTTGAGATTGTTTTTTTTTCCTCCCTATTTCGACACTTTACACTTGAGTTGTACATTAGATAGACTGAGAGAGCTCTTCGATCAGGTGAGCCCAGGTAAAGCTACAGTACATGTGGTGCTAATGACGTCCTCTCAGGACCGCTGAAGTTTTGAAATATCCATTTCGCAATAAAAAATACAATGTGGGACCACACTCCTCGGCTGACAAGTCTTCCCTCTCTCTTTCCTTATGTTTGGAGAAACATTGGATTATCAGCGTGATGCTGAACTGGCAGGCAACCCGGCAGAGCTCCTGGAGTTGATATTGATTTTGTTTCTGAGATGTGGGCACAATTGCAACAGAAAGTCTTTTGTTCTCCCATTTCTTTCTTTACCCACAGTCGGTGTCCTTCTTCCGTCAACCTCCACATCCCTTTGTGTCTTTCCTTGCTCAGAGAGGGAAGGTGCGGATTGAAGGGCGCACAGGCATGAAAAATCTCGGCGGCTTTCTATCTGCAGTCTGTGCTACCTTGCAAGACTTAATCGGTCCCACTAATCACAAGTCTTTTTTTGTTGCTGTTTTGGTCTTTTAAAATGAGAGCCTTGCTTGGAAAGTGGAAGCAGGTTTCTTTTCGGACCACAGGCTAAAAGTACTTTTCTCCTTATACTCCACCAAAGGCCCCTGAAGTGGTTTGCAGAACGAGACAATGTGTCTGTATTTTGTTTTTTTTCTCTTCCCTAAAGCTGTTACTTAAGCAGACGCAGAGAGCTTATAGTCAGAAAAACAAATACACAAAAGAAAGATACATTTGTAAAATAACAATTAGTGAAAAAACATCTGCAAGATCTGTAATGTCTTTTTTCCGGCCTCTCCCTGATTCCTTTGAGGAGCACGGCCGTCTTTCACAGGCTTCGTACGAATTTTTCAACTTTGTGGCTCCGTCTCGAAATGTCCGAGGCTGATTAGAATTCCTCCCTCTGCCTGCTCCGACTCCCTGTGCTGCTCCCCCGGCTCCTCTCCCCGCTGACAGCCCGGTCCACTTCACAGCCTTGCGACGACCTTTGAGTCGTCCCAGAGAGAAACGAGAGGGAGAAGGGGAGCTCGCTCGCCTCAGGCTCAACCAAACCTCCTTTGAATCTTCTTATCGCTCTGCCTCCTAGAATCCTTAGCCGTGTTGATTTAACTGAACTACAGAAGGGTTTGAATTCTGATTGGGGGAGATTTTTTTAGCCCCGTCACCAGTTCGTACTGTATGTTGACTCCTCATTCCTTATATATTTTCAAGAAATGTGTCCCTCTCCGTTTATCATCAATTCTCTCTGCCTTCCTGTTTTAATCCAAACCTTTGAAACTGATTCAGGCTGTCTGAGAGTGTTCCCTTCTTAATAAATCAGCTCACCATGGACCCATATAGTGGGCAGAGGGTCAATCTCAGCAATATTTTCCGCTTAATGCACTGAACAGGGCAGATATGGGAATGTGGGAGTCACTCAGCAGGCATCCATCATCTTCCACGAGTGCTAAGCAGAAGAATTGCCCCCGACCGAATTGACAAATTCTTTGTGTTGTCTCTGTTCGTCTTTCGGACGTTTTTAAGCTTCCTTTGGCATCCGTTCCAAGTTAAAGGGATTTGTTACTAAATTCCTGATACTGAAAGATTCTCGGGACATTCTGGGATCAGAATCCAGCATGTTGTCGTTGGCCTGTGAACACCATGTAAAATCGGTCAAGATTGTAAATCATTTGCTTCTATTGGGTTAAGGGGGGGTTGAAAAAACTCATGAATATACTTGCTGAACTCACGATGTGTGGTATTGAAAGATAAACCAAAACTCTAAAATTCTTTGTAGAGTAATTTTCCAATTCAAATCGATTGGAGTCCATTGGACAAACCTTAACTAATGGAATACTTAGCAATTTTGGGAAAGGCGCTTATTTCCTCTCAGGCCGAAATTTACACTTTTGTACAGTAAATATGAATCCTATTTTAGCATGACGACCTGTTATCTTTTTTCTTCACCTAACAATCTGTAAAACAGAGTTGAACTATTCCCAGTAGTAGTAGTAGTTGGTACCCAATGGAAACCATAAGCAACGTAGCAGTCTACGTGCTGCGTATTGAGAAAGTCTGGACTTCTCCCTTTAAGGTACACTCTACGACTACAGCATATCAGCAGTTTGCATGAACAGGAGTTTCTGGACTAATTTTTGCGGCTGCAACTACAAAGTTGGATCAAAATAAGATTTCAGCGGCATCAGATACTATCGGATTGAAGGATTGAAGGTGGAACACTGCCTCTGGATGCGCAGACAAAGGCTTTGTTTACCACGGGAAGCCGACGTAGAATAGTAAATGAAATGAATCCTGCATTGGCCCAAACCCCCCCCCCATCGATGTAGAAAGGTCAGGTGGCTGACACGGAGCTGACGTCACAACACCGTTACTGAGGGCTTACGTGCATCTCGGTTTCTCTCTCGCTCTCACTACCGATCCGCGCCGATCTGACAGGGCTGGGCCGCTGGGACGGTGGCTAGAGGAGGTCTCGACAGGCGGGAGGGAGGCCGTTTGGGGGATGGGGATGCGAGGCGGGTGACACGAGGTGAGGGAGGACGGACGATGCCCCGTTTCTGACCTGATTGGAAGTGGCAGGGGATGAAGAGAGGGAGCCAAACTCAGCCTGAAAGCACAGACGAATAGACGGGGAGGGAATACCTCGTTCCCCCGCGTGTGCAGAGTCTGCTACGACACTGATGGAGTTAAAAGATAATTTTGGTTGGGCCGTCGTTACTATCAGGATCTCAGATTATCAGATGTGAACAGGCAGCAGGTGAAACCGATTGTCTGAACCAATTAAGGTAACAATGGCTTACGGTGCAGGGAAGCCGTGTGCTCACGCAGCTACGGTAAGGTAGGTCAAAAAAGAGCCAAGAGGTCTGTAAGCAGTGAGTCAATTCACTTTGGGGATTTTATGACTTTGTCTGTATTAAATACGTTTGTCTGGTATTCAGAATACATTCCCATTTTGTTTCATCATTCATTATGAGCCCCACTTTGCGTTCTTGTTAGGCAGTTTTATTGACATAAAATTGTGGTTGTTCGGAGCAGTTTAGATGACCTAAGTTAACGTTTTGGGGACTACACTTCTCACCAAGAGTTGGACACCAACATTGATTCCACTCTCCTCTGCATACGCTATATACAAAACAACCAGAACAATGTCTCAGCTAGCGAGTTTTGGAGGCGCTGGCGCGATTAGTTAACTTTGAACACAGACAGTTTTCCATATTTGTGATCGTCATGTTTCCCCAAATCAGTTCCTGGTAACGGATATTTTCTGATTGATTATTGTCAAAACAAACCTTGCTGAAAGGTTGAACAATTCAAAGATGGGTCCATAATGTGTTGAACAAGGAGAGTTTTTGTGTGTCTCTCACACACAGTAACTCTCTTTTAATATGGAACAACAGAGTATCTCATGTTAGCGTCGAGTCCATCTCATTCTCTTTTAAGATGGAACTTATTTGTGACGGTCTTTTTCCCACAGGCATGTTTTATGGGAAGAGATACCCCTCTCAACGGAAACTGTTACTTACGCCGTGGTTCCCTCTGCCTAAAGAGGTTGCTGACTGTAAGCCACTAACTGCAACATGAAACCCACGCTTTTATGGCAAATTGTGGCATATCTCGAAGCCTGCGCCATTTCCTACCACAATCCTATATATTGAAGGCTTCCAAACCATTTAGTCAAGAGCCATTATCACCGTCTCTTTTCTCGGGGGGGGATTGGAACCCAGAGCAGAGCGGAAGCAACGCCACACGCTATCACGAAACCCGCGATGGCTGAAACACGCTGCAAGGATTCCCTTTGTGTTGACCGCACACCGTCACACGTGCTCAGAACTTTAATTTAACATTTACATCGCCGGAGGAAAGGGGTTTGTGTGGTTGATTACACGTATAGCTGATCTGTGCTGAGCAGCATTCATTGCTGCCACTTTTGCCTCGTTCCATCAGGTCATCAGCCGCAAGTTTTCCAGGATGCTTCAGTCAGCCAGTGATACGCTGCTGGCAGCCCTCACGCAGAGAGTGTGTGTGTGTGAGAGAGAGCTGATGACAGAGGCGTGAGCTGAGGCTATGTGTCTCTTGTTGGCTCTAACTCGGAATAATACGCTCTTAGTCATTATCGGAGCATGGCATTTTTCTGGGAAATCTGAATGGCATCCTGTGGTTGTTTGCCACAAAGATGACGCCGAGACAGATTA